ATGGCAGGTACTGGTATGCTGGCATGGCAGGTACTGGTATGCTAACATGGCTGGTACTGGTATGCTAACAAGGCTGGTACTGGTATGCTAACATGGCAGGTACTGGTATGCTGGCATGGCAGGTACTGGTATGCTAACAAGGCTGGTACTGGTATGCTAACATGGCAGGTACTGGTATGCTAACATGGCAGGTACTGGTATGCTAACAAGGCAGGTACTGGTATGCTAACATGGCAGGTACTGGTATGCTAACAAGGCTGGTACTGGTATGCTAACATGGCAGGTACTGGTATGCTAACATGACAGGTACTGGTATGCTGGCATGTCAGGTACTGGTATGCTAACATGGCAGGTACTGGTATGCTAACAAGGCTGGTACTGGTATGCTGGCATGGCAGGTACTGGTATGCTAACATGGCAGGTACTGGTATGCTAACATGGCAGGTACTGGTATGCTAACATGGCAGGTACTGGTATGCTAACAAGGCTGGTACTGGTATGCTAACATGGCAGGTACTGGTATGCTAACATGGCAGGTACTGGTATGCTAACATGGCAGGTACTGGTATGCTAACATGGCAGGTACTGGTATGCTAACATGGCAGGTACTGGTATGCTAACATGGCAGGTACTGGTATGCTAACATGGCAGGTACTGGTATGCTAACATGGCAGGTACTGGTATGCTAACATGGCAGGTACTGGTATGCTAACATGGCAGGTACTGGTATGCTAACAAGGCAGGTACTGGTATGCTAACATGGCAGGTACTGGTATGCTAACATGGCAGGTACTGGTATGCTAACATGGCAGGTACTGGTATGCTAACATGGCAGGTACTGGTATGCTAACAAGGCAGGTACTGGTATGCTAACATGGCAGGTACTGGTATGCTGGCATGGCAGGTACTGGTATGCTGGCATGGCAGGTACTGGTTTGCTTCTAAGTTGTGAGCAACCTCCCAAGGACATCATGAACCAACTCCGGCATTTACTGACTGTTGTATGGTTTGCTAGACAAATTTAGTTTGCCATTGTTTTCTGTATGGTACAATCGTCATACCATTATCATAATAAATGCAAACTGGTCTGCCGTCAAACTTCCTGCAGCTGACTTCAGACCCAGGTATGCTGAGATTGTGAAACTGTGTTCACAACCCTTAACCCCCCCCAATCCTGACTCAGGCATGTTTAGGTAACAGGATTATGTAAACAGTACAAGTATGTATAGATAAATGTTTTGTTGTAAATGCATGAACTGTGTCAAAGAGAACATTTTATTTATTTGTATTTAAATAATGTGAATTACCTACTGCATGTGGAATGATAATGGTGTTTTGGAAACAGCCGTGTTGCCTTTTTGGACATATTTGTATATTTCCTAATTTGAATTGTTAACAAAGATTGTAAAATATATAACTTTATGCTGAATCTGCTTCAGTTTTGGTTTCATTTGCGGGCTTGTGTAAATTTGTGCAGTCGAGAAGAAATTAATTTCACATGAAAATGGAAATATAATTTGAAAAAAAAAAACACGTTTGTGATTCACACATAAAAATTCTCAGCTGCGCAGTTTGTGGCAATTGCATTACCAGTGGTAAACAAAGGCAGTAATGAGAGACATTTGTTTTAGGTAGACAGTAATTTGGTTCTCTTTAATGGTATTCCACTTCAAGATGTGGAGTCGTACACACATTTTTTTGTCAGGCAAATAGTAATTTGGTTCTCTTTAATGGTATTCCACTTCAAGATATGGAGTCGTACACACATTTTTTTGTCAGGCAAATAGTAATTTGGTTCTCTTTAATGGTATTCAACTTCAAGATGTGGAGTCGTACACAATTTTTTTCGTCAGGCAAATAGTAATTTGGTTCTCTTTAATGGTATTCCACTTCAAGACGTGGAGTCGTACACCTATTTGGACAGTAATGTAGATAAAGATGGAGGAAACTGACAGAGATATTAAAATACGAATACAAAAAGCAAGAGGAGCTTTTATAGCGCTAGGAAATTTGTAGAAGTCTTCAGAAATTAAAACTAGTACTAAACTTGTCGGCATCTGTGGCTAAGGCGTTGCGCACACCCTTCGTAATGCCGGGGGGCAAGGTTCGATCCCAGCTGCGGGCCTTATGCCTTGCGTTGGTTTCAACAGTGGTATCGAGAGGTCGACCGTCCAGAAAGCAATGGCAAACTACTGGGCATAAATTTGCCTAGAAAAACCACAACAGCCAATGCTGGGGTTGGTTCTGCAATTTTCTGTAAAGGATACGCAACTAACATAATTAAACTTGAGCTTGTTAATTTTAATGTCAAATCAGAACTGCTATGTAGAGCGGAAACATGGAGAACAACTAAAACCATTGCTAATAAACTACAAACATTCGTTAACTGGTGCCTGCGCAGAACACAGGGAATTAAATGGTGCGATAGAATCACTAATGTTGAGCTCTGAAAAAGAAGCAAACTAGTTCCAGTGGACCAAAAGGTGAGGATAAAATGCAGGTGTTGGATATGACACACGTTGGCAAAACCTGAGAACATTATAACTAGAATATCTTTGCCCTGGAACCCACAGGGACACAGAAATAAAGGCAGACCAAAAAACATATGGAGAAGGGAGCTAGAGAGTGAAGCTAAACAGACAGGAAGGACATGTGAGCTGCATGCAACAACAACGGATAGAATGATCTGGTGTGAGTTGGTTGAGGACCTATGCTCCATTGGGAGCTAGAAGGCAGAAGAATACAATATAGGAAGGGCTTGCCCTTCATACCCAAACTAGACTATGACATGAGACTGCATTCATACGAGACATTGCCAAGGAATTATTTTTATTTTACTCATACTTTGTTAGCTGACAAACAACTCAGACATGTACTTTTCTTTCTAGCCCACTTACTTGGCTGATCAGACTAATGATTGGCACACATACAACAGTCAGACTGTGACAGTGGCTAAAATCTGGTTATATTTATTTCTTCTGTTTGTCCTCCCTACAGAGTCTAGGTGACTAGTTTTTTTTTCCTCCACATTTTGTTCATTTGCAAAAGGATAAAAAATATAAATCAGGAATATTCTTAGATACAAAACTTGTAATATTTGTACAAAATGTTGACATAAATTTCCTTTAAAAAAAATTATTACCAACATATATTGACCAACAATATCACTCATTATTTACTTTATGTTAGTGTTGCCACAAAAAAATCTGGAAGGCAGAAATGATGGTCACACTCGTCATACTTCAGTGACACCATTCCATTGTGTTCCACTGTGCTGCATGGAGTTAGGAGAATTACAACCCATGGTGACTACAACCCATGGTGACCACAACCCATGGTGACCACAACCTATGGTGACCACAGCCTATGGTGACTACAACCCATGGTGACTACAACCCATGGTGACCACAGACCATGGTGACCACAGACCATGGTGACTACAACCCATGGTGACCACAACCCATGGTGACCACAACCTATGGTGACCACAGCCTATGGTGACTACAACCCATGGTGACCACAGCCCATGGGGACCACAACCCATGGTGACCACAACCTATGGTGACCACAGCCCATGGTGACCACAACCCATGGGGACCACAGCCCATGGTGACCACAGCCCATGGTGACCACAACCCATGGGGACCACAACCCATGGTGACCACAGCCCATGGTGACCACAACCTATGGTGACCACAACCCATGGGGACCACAGCCCATGGTGACCACAACGCATGGTGACTACAACCCATGGTGACCACAGCCTATGGTGACCACAACCCATGGGGACCACAGCCCATGGTGACCACAACAAAGAAGCCTGGGCAGAACTGTACAGACCATGTGTTGTTGCCACTGCAGCATATCCCTCTCTCAACCTGCTTTGTTAATTTCAAGGAAAATGTAACACCAATATGTTTGAACAAAGCATGCTGCAGAAGCTGCTGCATCAGAAGAGTAATGCTATCTGTCGGCCTGTCGGAGCTTCCCTCCTAGACCAGCTGCCAGCTAAGGCTCAATGCCTGGTTTGCCCTGCCATAATCTTATGTTTTCAGACTGCATGTCTTCATCCTAGGATCAACCCTTGTATCTTCCTCAGTGCACTCAATGCCTGAAGCCACTGGCACAAGTGGAATGTCACATTTACTCATGACACTTCTTCTTCTTTAGGTCCATGCCGTGCGGCGTTGGCAGTCACGTTTATCCACAACCTTCTGTCTCATGTACTTTCAGTCAACTCTGACACAGATGGTCTTCCATAGTCCATGCTGTGTGGTGTCGGCAGTCATGTCTAACCACAACCTTCTGTCTCATGTACTTTCAGTCAACTCTGACACAGATGGTCTTCCATAGTCCATGCCGTGTGGTGTCGGCAGTCATGTCTATCCACAACCTTCTGTCTCGTGTACTTTCAGTCAACTCTGACACAGATGGTCTTCCATAGTCCATGCTGTGTGGTGTCGGCAGTCATGTCTAACCACAACCTTCTGTCTCGTGTACTTTCAGTCAACTCTGACACAGATGGTCTTCCATAGTCCATGCTGTGTGGTGTCGGCAGTCATGTCTATCCACAACCTTCTGTCTCGTGTACTTTCAGTCAACTCTGACACAGATGATCCTCCATGCCATGATGTCAAACTGTCCCAACATCTTTTCTCTGGGTCTCCATCTGCCTCTCCTTGCCTCCAACTTTCCTACTGTCATGATGTACTCCAGTTTTCTCCTTCTCATTCATGACCAGTATAATACCATATATAAAATAGTATTATACCAGTATAATATCAAACAATGCCACACATAATCACCCAGTGGTCCCCAAACACTGTCACACATACAGCACCAAAGCCAAACCCACAACCAAACAGTTCTTCAAATACGAAAGCCTGTGCCACCGAGCAAGCCATATGTAAATAATAAAAGTATGGCTGGAAATCAAAAAATCTGGGAGTCACTGCTACAGCATGGCAGGCATAAAATGCCCAGTGTGTGCCTGTTGCGTCTCACATACCACATTCACTCTCAGTTGTCTCCCATGGTTTCAGTTTTCTCGTCAACTTTGAGGGGGTGGGTTCGGCATTGCTAGGTTCCACATCTACAGAAACTATGCCAGGGATTGGATGATTGTTTTGTATAAGCTCTGCTACCTCGGCCAAGCTTAATTCTTTCTCCTCATGCTCTTGTTGCTCTGGTGAAAATATTGAGGTTAGATTTTAAAATGCAACGACAAATCCATGAAGAGCACAGTATCTCAAGACTTCACGAATATAAAGATCTTAATAAATCTTCTTCTTTTTCTTAGGGTTTTTCTTCTTCCTAAAGTGCATGCTGTGTGGTGTTGGTAGTTGTGTGTATCCACAACCTTCTGTCTCATGTACTTTCAGTCAACTTTGACACAGATGATCTTCCATAGTCCATGCTGTGTGGTGTTGGTAGTCGTGTGTATCCACAACCTTCTGTCTCATGTACTTTCAGTCAGTTCTGACACAGATGATATTCCATAGACCATGCTGTGTGGTGTTGGTAGTGGTGTGTATCCACAACCTTCTGTCTCATGTACTTTCAGTCAACTTTGACACAGATGATCCTCCATCTATGATGTCCAGCATCTTGTCTCTCCGACTCCCTCTGCCTCTCCTCCCCTCCAACTTTCATACCGTCACCATGTACTCCAGTTTTCTCCTTCTCATCACATGACAAAAGAATGTAAATTGTCTCTTTCTGCTGTGGGCAATCAGTTCTCTTCGAGAATCAGTTTCTTTCAAGACCTCCTCATTACTCTTTTTTATCTGTCGAGGATGTATTCTCATCATTCGTCTATAAAACCACATCTCCCTAGCTTGCAAATAATGTTTCACTAATCTACCAACATTTGAATATAAATGTTACAGACAGGTTCTAAGAATATCTTCTTTAAAGAAAAGAACAAATGCATCCATACTTCAAGAGCTGAATATTGAAGAGGGTTGGCTAGTAAAGACAATAAAACAAAGAAAATTGAAATATTTTGGTCACTTGAAACTTCATGGAAGTCTAGAGAGAACAATAATGGAGGGGTATATGCCTGGGAAGAGAGGAAGAGGAAGGCCAAGGAGAAGATGGGTGCAGGATGTGGCAGATGATCTCCAGATGGGTGTATCAGACGCAGGACATCTTGCTCAGGATAGGAAGGTTTTCCGGAGGGTTGTTATGGCAGCGAGGTTCCGCGAAGGACATGCTACTGAATGAATGAATCTACCAACTATCTTAGTGTTCACCTGCGTAAACTCTGGTAGAAAATTCTGGTTGCTCATTCACTTCTCGACACTAGCACTGTTCCAGAACATGAGGTTTGCATACACATCAGTTTTACAGATCTGGCTTATTTGTATGCAGACTGTTGGTTCCTCAACTCTCATGCAGATGCACTTCGACCTAAAAGGAAACACCTTCAATTAGTCACCTTTTGACGCTTCTGGTAATCTGGTAATCTGGTAATCCTAGTTTCAGCATCATAGCAAACGGGTCACCCCATTTTTGCTCCGCTCCTGTGCCAACGAAAAACACTCGTAGCTCACAGTGTCACACCATGCACTCAACTCAGAAGCTGGGTGACGAAACTATATCCTTCCAGTCTACAAATGGAGCAAAAATGCAACAACCACTGCCTGGCAGAACTGCCACGGCTTAAAAAAAAAAAAAAGTGGCCGTGCCTAGCGTCCACTGTGACTTGAAGCATTATGTGAGGGGTTAACAAATGGTCACCCCAGCAGTACCCTCATTATTAGCTGGGAAAGGGACTTAGGACATTACATCCACCAGCAGGCGTCGCCCCTACAACGACCTGACTGCCTTCGTTAACGACTGTTCACCCAACAGCCATGCAGTTCTTTGGCACGAAGGAGACACCTTGAACTTGGGTTTCGGAATGCCGACTTCCTACAAAATGTTATTTTGTGTTTTGTTATCACAATCGACGTCACTGCACATTGGGCATACCCATGCGTGCGCAGTCCTCCGAAGCAGCAGCCACTCCAAAGTACTTCTACTAATTTTGACGCTTGTTGAGGGGGAAGGGGGGGGGGGGGGGTGGGATAGTTCAGTGGGTCTATTCTCGTTTTGCCCAAAATGGGACACCAGAACCCACTCAGGAAGACTTCAATAAAATCAACCAATGTGTAATGTGCCTCTTTAATTAGTTTATAAATTCCCTTACACAGTATTATCTCCAAGTGTGGGTTCCAGGGCCCCACTGTCGGGACAACAAGAATAGACCCACTGCCTCCCCATGTGGGTTCCAGGGACACACTGTCGGGAAAACAAGAATAGACCCACTGCCTCCCCGTGTGGGTTCCAGGGACCCACTGTCGGGAAAACAAGAATAGACCCACTGCCTCCCCAACAAGCATGTCATAAAAGTCGACTACTTAGGGGTTTACTTCAAAGTTGCAGTGCATCTGCCTGAGAGGCAAGGAACCAACAGTCTGCACACAAATAAGTCAGATCTGTAAAATGAATGCAGGTGCAAAACTCAGGTCCTGTAACTAAGCTAGAGTCCAGAAAGGGACAAACAACCAGGTCTTTCCAGCAGGGTGAACACAAACAACAACAACAACAACAACAACAACACCAAAACAACAGTATTATCAAAATTTAAAGCTTCTGCTAAAATATTTTGCAAATGTATGTGTCAGTTATGTGTCTAGTGTGTCCTCCTATCTTTATACTTCCTTCTATGAGTGTTAATCAGTACATGTTTGTTTACATATAATATCCCTACAGATTCCCCATCTGTTTATTTATGTGTAATGTGTTTATAAGGTTGAACAGGGTAGTGGTATTTGAGTTGAGTTTCAAAAACTGTCATCACAGTATTTGGGGCATTCCACCCGCATCTTCAGCAGTCAACGAAGAGTCCCAACTCCGATGATACCAGAAGCATTCTCATGGAATGTCTGTCTTGTATTTCCTGTCAGCGTGCTGTGTCAGCCAGATCTCCTGGTAAGCCAGATAGGGATATGAATGGTATACTGTACGAGAGACAACATAGCTGAAGACCTCACATGTGAGGAAAATGATTCCTCTTTGACTCAGATGTGAAGTCTAAAACACTAAATGGAGCAGCGCAACGTGAAAACCATGCAAGCACTCACAGTTGCTACACCAACCAGTACAGAACAGGAGTTTCACCATAAACACATTAAGAAACATGCTTACATCATAGCACTCAAGACACTTTTTTGGCACAGGAGCGGAGCAACTACGGGGTGATCCGTTTGCTATGAAGCTGAAACTAAGATTACCAGATTACTCAGGACACCCCCATTAGTGCTTCATCCCTATCCTCAGCAGCAAGCAAAGAGTTACGATGGCACCAGTAACTGTGTGACTGTATATCCATCTTGCCTTTCCCTTGAGTGTTGAACGTCAGCTCAATCCCCTGCTAACTCCAAGCAGTGCCATTCTTGTGAGACCATAATGACCTATTTGTGCCTCTGCACTGTTCACTTGCTCCCAAAGGGAAGCTTACAAGAGTATGTGAGCACCTGTGGGTATACCCGATTTGCAATGAAGATAATCTTAGAATACTTGTGGGGATACTGAAAAGAAAATTAGAGCATCTTTGGATCTTTCTGGGGCATACTGATGATAGTCTTCACTAATCACATATGTAGAGGTTGAAAGGTATGTTTTTACAGAATACAGACAATGTATTGATCGGCGCTCATAGAAAAAACTCATAGAACGGCACTCACAGGCTTGTTTATTTATGTGATTTTCTAAAAGAATGGCGAGACCACCATGAACTAATAAAAACAGAATAAAGTTGTTCCAAAAGAAATGAACTCACTCAGAAAACCAGATATCAAATTTTCCGTGTATAAGACATCCCTGTGTATAAGATGACTCATACTTTTTAAGGGCAGAATAAGGAAATAAATATTTTAAATACATTCTATGCACAAGACCGCTCCCAATTTTAAACTTCAACAGTTTGAGACAACATGTCTTCTTATACAAGGAAAAATATGGTTCCTCTATCTGGGAAAAAAAAGCCAATATTTTGTTGGACTCATCATAAGATGGGGAAATCTAGAACACCTGGTGATAATGGGAATGTTGAGTCACAAGAGAGATGGGTTAAACCAACAGTGAGGATGTTTGACACTATGAAAATGTTGGGTGGCAAGAGACACAGGTTAAAACATCAGTGAGGATGTTTGACATCATGAGATGGTTGAACATGTATATTCTTCTTTCCTCTTCGCATTCACCAGCTGTAAACTGGCGGAAAGTTCTGGTTGTTCGTCCACTTCTGGACCGCAGTCCTGTTCCAGAATCTGTGCCGCGTGTGATCCGTTTGACAGATCTGACACATTTGTTTGCAGACTGTTGGTTCCTTGCCTCTCAGGCAGATGCACTCCAACTTCGAAGGAAGCTCCCAGTCAGTTGGCTCTTATGACATGCTTGTGGGTAGGCAGTGGGTCTATTCTTGTTATCCCTGTAATAGGGGCCCAGAACCCACCCGGGGAAACATCTGTATTGAAATGTAATTATTGGCAGTAAACAAGACAGAAGGCTGTGGACAGATGTCACGACAAATGCCACACAACATGAACTATATGCCCAAAACATACCTGTGTCATCCTTCTCTGGTGTGTCTGGCTTCACCTGCTCTAACTGCTTCTTGTGTCGCCACAAGAGATACTGGCTACAGTCAAAACTCTTCACATTTCTGTAAGCATAAAAGCATATAGCCAGTGCACTTATATACCAACTGACACCATTATTAGGACTTCCAAACAAAAGTATGAGCGCCAAGAAACAGTTTATAAACAGTTTATTCATACCAACACTTTGCTACCTGTGCTAGACATGGACATTATCAAAGGCTAATGTACGTACAATCAATCCCTGCGAAATGAGATGCCTGAGAAAAGCTTAACCATCTGAGACAAAGTTAGAAATTATATTATCAAATAGGCTGTAGCAACAACACCATGCAGCAAATTCAATGAGAAACAGATCAAATGGTTTTAGCCAGAATTCTTGATACTGACTAAATCACCCACTGGGTGCCAATTGGTCTACAAAATAAGTCTAGCACTATACACCCAATATGTCCGAAGGTATGGAGAGGGTCTTTTGCCTTATTATGTACATACATATTAATATTTAAGGCACCCGGCACAGGGGGCTGTGTGGCCTCGAGGCATGGTGTCCGCCCCAAGTGCTAGAGGTTTCGGGTTCAATCCCCGGTAAGGCTGGGATTTTTTCACGTGGACTTGGACTTCTAGTAACTCCCACTGGTCTCTGGGTAGTGAGATTGGACGCCCGTGTTCATTGTTGGGCACGTAAAAAATCCCTTGGCAGTTGGAAATTGAAACGGCTACATTTTGCTTGGGCAAAATTTGGAATTAAAAATCTACCCAAAGTATTTCAGGATCCTCGCCAGGGCTACAGAGCCGGACCTTTGACCTCCCAGTTCTGACTCGGACTTGAGTTAGATGAAAAAGGGAGGTTACTACCCGTGTGCCATGATGTTGATCCGTTGTTCAAACCTTTATTATTTACAGACATTATCAGCCATACCTTGAAAAGTAAAATGCCTTAGCTCTGAGATACTCCGAGTCCTTCTTCTGTGGATCTATCAGTTTCTCAATAGCTTTCCAGCCTGTCTGAAAATGTTGATTATTCTCAAAATCAAAACTCTCAAACATCTGGAAACTTGGCACATCCATCATGACATCTAATGATTCCTGAAACACAAAAGTCCCAGAGAGATATGATCAACAAGGAGTCACACAATAGAAACAATGTCTGCTTGGATAACTTTGACAGTTGAGTTGAGTCAAGAATTGACATCACAGCACTCGGGGTATTCCCATGCATGCTTCGACCTCATTTTCAGCAGCCAGCACAGAGTTCCAATACTGATGGTGCCGGTCACAATCAGGTTAAATGTCCATTTTGCCTTTCCTCTGAGTGTAGTCAGCCGACCATACCCTCTGGTTACACAAAGGAGCCTCATTCTCTCCAGGCCATAATAATCTTCTTTCTCTGCTGATTGCTTGTTCCCAAAGGGCCTTGACCACATCTGCCTTGTCATGTATCAATTCACCACCCAGTGGTGCAGATCCAGCCAATCTGTCTGCCTGTTCATTACCCACTACGCCGACATGGCCTGGGGAAAAGATCTAAAGTATGCTCACTACCCGTGACCTTTCCAGTAACTTTGAGAATCTGGAAGATATTCAACATTGAAAGGGAAACAAAGGCGGACTTTTAATCAGGTTGCAACTGGTACTATTAGCATGCTGACTCTTCACTGGGTACTGAAGAAGGAGACGGAGCACGATTGGGATTGTCCCGAGTGCAGTGATGCCAATTCTTGATTCATTTACTCAAGCTGTTTCAATCATTTAGATGAATTCTGTCCATGTTCCATAGTTATGGGTTCAAGCAGTACGATAGAAATGGATAATAAAGACATTTTTTTAGGGATGTCTAATTGGTCATGCATCTTATTACACTTATTCTTGCAGCCAGGTGCTGTCATCATTTGGAGATAACAGGTTTGATTCCCAGCATGGTAACTATCATCCCCAAGTGCCTTTCAAGCTGGCGTAGGTGTTCATGCATCTCCACAGATCATGGCCTTTAGTGTTCTGTATCAATTCCACTGATGACATTCCTCCATGCCACTGTCTTAAGCCATCCACCATCATTTTTCTTGGTCTGCCTCTGTCTCTTCTACCAGTTACTTTTCCAGTCGTCACAATATTTTCCAGTGCTCCTTTTCTCATCACATGACCAAAGACACGTGTTTGTCTCCTTCGCACTGTTGTATATAATGATCTAATTTCATTAGCCATTTCCAGGCAATCACTGTTAGTTATTTTGGCAGTCCAAGGTATTCATAACATTCTTCTCAAGAACCACATCTCAGTTGGTAATTACAGCTTTTCATTTTCAATTTGTCTAGTGTGTCCATTTATCTTTCTTCTTCTGTCTTCTTCCTGGTACTCCACAGGGAGTATTTATTCCCCAAGCTGATACGTGTAGGCAGTCTGCTAAAAAACCATCGACCCGGCTGCTTCGATTTACCAGCTAAGTGATTTTTTTGTATTTGTGTTTGATTTGTATGTGCTGAAGAAGGTTCCATAGCGGCAACAATCACGTTTTGTGTGTTTTTGTTATATTGTGAAGCTTGCTAATATACTTTTTGTTCGGTTTTTATATCTTTTCTTCTGTCTATGAGTACCGATCAACACATGTCTCTTTATTATATATGCCTTTTGTATGGTATGCTAAGAGTTATTACCCTTTGGAGACGATACGGCCAAAATATCTGCCCGACACAAAGTAGCCAAAAGGACAACTGGGCCGATTGGTTTGCCCTATGTAATACAAGCCTTGAGATTGGCTGGCAGGTTTTCAGCCAATCAGATTGCTTCTTGCATTTCTTGCAAATTTTTAAGTATTCTGTAATTTTACATGGACACTGAGAGGCATACGATGGACTCCATTTACCACGCTTGAGCACCTGGATTTTTGCAGATGATATAGCACTCCTGTCACATAAACATGAACATATACAAGAGAAAATTAACAGACTAAACTGCACAGCAGAAATGGTGGGACTGAGAATAAATACAAAGAAAACTAAGATCATGACAAACAGTCCAAACCAACAACCAGTGACCATAAGTAACCAATCACTTGAAAATGTAGAACATTTCACGTATCTTGGCAGTGTGGTGTCCCTACTGGGAGGGACAGAGGAAGACATACAGTCACGTCTGAACAAAGCTAGAGCTGCTTTTGGAAGGATGAGGCAAATCTGGAAATCCAACAATTACTACAGAGGAACGAAACTCCGACTCTACAAGAGCATTATTTTGCCAGTTCTTCTCTATAGAGCGGAATGCTGGAGAATGACCAAAAAGGATGCACACAAGCTGTCCACCTTCCACCACACATGTCTACGTAGAATTATCAAAATTTTCTGGCCACATACAATCTCAAACACTAAACTACTTCAAACCACAAACCAAGAAACTTTAGACAGTATGATTACCAAGAGAAGATGGAAATGGCTTGGCCACGTTATGAGAATGACTTCTGATATACCTGCCAAAACAGCTCTCACATGGACACCAGAGGGAAAGAGAAAACAGGGGCGCCCAAAAACAACATGGAGACGAACGATGGAAAGTGACCTGAGTGCTGCATCTTTGACATGGAAAACTGCACTAAAGATTGCACAGGACAGGAAAGCATGGAAAGTCCTCTCTGAAGCCTTGTGTCACTAGGCATAACGAGAACTGATGATGTAATTTTACATCAATATTTTTCTGGGATTATCTGTGCCCAACAGTGGCGAGAAGGACTGTTGCATCATAGCAACCGAAACATATCTGGAGGCAGAAAAATGAGTAGAACCATGTGCCAAAAGTGTCTGAAGGACCTCCAAAGGCCTTTCTTCTGAAAGCACAAGTGCTAGGACTTATTCAGCTTCACCCATAAAAAAATTCACTTTTAATTTTTAGGTTAGTCATGATTGTTGGTCGGCTCTGTGGCTAAGTCGATGCGAACGCTTCGTAATGCCGGGATCTCGGGTTCGATCCCAGCTGCGGGCCATGTGCTTTGCGTTGGTTTCGACAGTGGTATCAAGAAAGCCGACCGTGCAGAAAGCAATGGCAAACTACTGGACGTAAATTTGCCTAGAAAAATACACAACAGCCAGGGGCTGTTGGGGTTGGTTCTGCAACGTCCTGTAAAGGATACGCAACTAACCATGATTGTTCCCAAGTTTTAAAAAAAATACTTTTTTAAATTATGCAAATCAGAATACCTAATTTGAGTAAATGTTGAGATTTCAGTTTGATTCATAAATATTATGTTAGCTCATACAGTTTTGTATATGTTAATTAAATGCTTTATTTTTATTTTTATTTGTGTGTGTATAAACTGTGAGAATCCCCTCCTGAAGACTTCGTCTTTTTGGCACTGAAACTACAAAAAGGCTCCGTCTCCAGAGGGTTAATCTAGCCTTAGTCTAACATGTTGAATGTTGAATATTGAATCGACATCATAGCACTCGAACCACTCCCATAAGCGCTCCGTCCCCATCTCCAGCAGCAAGCAAAGAGTTCCAATTCCGATGGCACCAGTAACTGCCTGATCATATATCCGTCTCGCCTTTCCCTTGAGTGTTAAGCGTCGGCCAGATCTGCTAACTCCTAGCAGCGCCATTCTTCTGAGACCGTAAAAATCTATTTCTGACTCAGCAATATTCACTTGCTCCCAAAGGGCAGTCTGTAACAATAGTAACATTTGACATTCTGGAAGAAGACCAGAGTAAACTGGTGGGCGAACAACAAGAAGGCACAACTTTCCGCTGAATTTAACGCCGGTGAAAGCGAAGAAGAAGAAACTTTAGAAACGTCGGAATACATACCTGTCTCTAAAACAAACTGCTTTAATATTTAAGACACCGGGTACAGGCAAAGGACACATCCGTGTCTACTGTTATCGAAGTATCAATACTCGTAGGACTAGGACATGGACTGTCCAACGACGGCTTTACTTTACTAAGAGAGAGAGAGAGAGAGAGAGAGAGAGAGAGAGAGAGAGAGAGAGAGAGATTTGACTCTTACTGGCTGTGGTGGTTGCAGAACTGACCTTTGAACTCCCAGTCTGTTGTCTGCTGTTATGAGCTGTAAGTACCAGAATTTGCCATGTTGTACACTATTTGAAACGTTAGTATTATTTACTATTACTACTCGTAGTACTGTTCAATGTGCTCTTGTGCTCTAGTGTTTAATACACATCGCTGATGTCTTTTTCATTTTGAAATAAAACTTAAAAACTTTCTGCTTAATAATTTTTTAATAATCATTTCTAATCCATTATTATTTATTCGAGATAGCTGGATTAGAACAGTAATTTCTTAACAATTTTCTTTTTAGTTTCGCTCTAGCTTTGCAATATGCGTCATCTAGATTTCTACTTCTGCCGTTAAGCGCTGTGGGAGGAACAGTTTGCAATCTATTGATGACTATTGTCATTACGTGTCGATGTAGAAGCTTTTTAATGTCATCAATTAATGTTGTGGTGGGGTGGGGGGGGGGGGGGTGCTGGGGGTGTAGGGGGATGGACGGGGCCTCTATCACCATTATTTTAGTTCCGGGATACGCGGGCGTTGATGGAAATGAAAGAACTAATAGTTTGGCTGGATCCGCTATCACTAGCGACGGTCAACCTATGGATCATGCTATTATTATTAATGTCCTCCTAGAAGTGGGAAGGGTAGAAATTTAATAAACAAGCCTCGTAGATATGGTTTTACAAAAGAATGCATAGAATTCACTGGACAGCTAAGAAGAGTAACCCAGATGTTTTGAAAGAGGCTGCTGTTCAAAGACGACTCATCACAAACATCAGAGAGTCATCATTTTTTTTTGGGGGGGGGGGGGGGGGGGGGTGGTGGGGGGGAGAAGGGGGGAAAATGTAACATGTTGGGGTGGGCCATTGAAAAGATTTTTGGAAAAAAGAGACAGAGGGGGGGTGGGGGGGGGGTCATTATGAAAGAAGATTAACATGTTGTGACAGTTTTTTGGACCATAGAATGGAGGGATGTCAACACACGATAAGATTGTTGACGAGTTTTTAACACACATGGGAATTAACTGAATAACACCAACTGGAAATTGCGACTGCAGAGAGGCATTGTCGCCTA